GTGCGTGCGTGCGCGCGCCGCGTGCACACACACGAATACGTTAGAGGTGTTATTCCGAAATATTCCAAGCAAAAAGAGTATACTTTCAAAATCACCGTACCTTCAAAATATCCGATGGAAGTCGTAGAGTTATTTCTTTGATCGTGGGGCCCGATATGCGTGCTTTTTGTTCTGATCGAGCTACGAGTGGTGTGAGAAGTTCAGAAGTTTCCTGTGCACTTTGACATCTGTATGTCTTTTTCTCCCCTGTAAAGCTGAGTGTTTCAAAGCTGTTTGGGAAAAATGTAAACACAAAGAGATTAAATATAAACCGAGTTGCCAGTCAAAAGTTTCAAGGGTGATCTAGAGGTTATGGTGTTTGCCTCTCATTCAATAGGTCCCGAATTGGAATCGCTAAAATTTTCTACATTCACCCCCTTTCCTGCTCTCTAACCACATTCTGTCATCTGCTTTTGTCTCCACTTTATGCCCCCTCCCCTTTGTCCCCTCTTCTGGGATCCTGACTCTTTCTACAGCCCTGCTACTGCTACTCCTCGGCTCTTTCTCACCGCTGCCTTTCATCTAACACCTAGCCTTCTCGGATTAACGGTGAAAAATCTCGGAGGTCCCATGTGCAAGTTGCGCACGTTAAAGATCCCTTGGCGGTCCTAAAATCGATTAGAGTAGGTTTTGTCGGCAAAATAAAAAATATCCTACCGACTGAATGTGTCTACGTGCTCACATGACCTTATGCAGTTGCGAGCTCCGCAGAACACTTGCAACACTCTCGCCAAAAACAACAACAATCCAGTTTGTAATAATATTTCTACTGTATAAAGCTATAAAATACTATATTATACCATTGTAATACCTACCGTTTTTTCAAACTTCAATTATGTGATATTGTCTTACCTCATGTCTTCCTATATTCTCTTCTATCCTGTTCTATTCTATTCATTCTATTCTATTCTATTCTATTACATTATATATTATAGTATATACTATGATATTATATCATTTTGTGTTAAGTAATGTAACAGGGTAGTATATTGAATTGAATTACATTATATATGATATGATAAAATATTATTTAAATGTGTCATATCATATCATATTATAATACGTTATATTATATTACATTACAATACATTGCATTACATTACATTACATTATTATATTAAGGGTGACTACAACTGTCAATTTCACATAGAGGTTTAGATAGTAACTCATGTAATTTATTCTTTATATTCTATGTAGTAGTAGTATAGGGTTTTACTGCGCTCGCAACTGCTAAGGTCTTTTATATTCTATGATAATACACTACACACAACATGTTGTATCATTAGACATAATTACGAAAGCGCACTTTTAATCTAACGATTGGCGATGAGTTAGACTTAGTATTCATATTCGGTATTTTTGACCCCCTTTTATCCGAATTCTTCACTTTCTCATCATCGTCATTGTTATCCTCATCAGTACCTTCCTCCTCGAGCTGTACTTCCTCCTCAACCTCCTCATAGTCCTCACCATCACCATCATAATCATTATCACATCATCATCATCATCATCATCATCATCATCATCATCATCATCATCATCATCACCATCATCATCATCATCATCATCATCATCATGATCATCATCATCATCATCATCATCAGGAGACTAGCAGCCCCAGGACCAGAATACCACCTGTGTTGATCAACTAATTAGTGCTAAAACACTGAACCTTATTCATTGTTTGCATAGCCAGTGCCAAAGATTCAAGAGAGAAACATAATAATGTTCAGCCTATGTTACGATAACACTCACCTGAAGGAATCTGAATATTGCATCTTACAGATTGCAAAGGTGCAATGAATGACATCTGTTGGCAGAACGTCCATCCCCAACATCAAGTTCAATAAGGAACTCTTCCCGCCATTTGTTTCTCCTGCAAAACAGAACGTCCTGATCTTGATAAACTTTTCCTTCCTTTCATTGCATTGCATTTTTTTAAAATGTGTCAAACAGAGTGTTACTGTATCTTACTGTATCTTTTTTCATCTCCCCCACCCTCATGTCTTTTAGATTCGTTATCTAAAAGGCCATAGTATATTTCTTATGCTGATTAGTCACTATATTTTTACTAAGCCAAATCAGAGCAAAGAGAGCAAACCAGGGAGATGACAATACTTTGAAATTTAAAATTCTACAAAGCCTACAGATCTAGTAGAGACATGTGAAAACTTTAAAGATTTTACCTTTCACCGGAATGTAATTCTAAAATGTATATTCTGAACTCATTTTGCTTTCATGCAATTTAAGACTCAGAAACCAAATGCTCTATCTGCCTTTATCAAAATCGTAAGATTGTTTGGAGTCGTTATCAAAATATTCGAAAAAATGCACTAGATAAAGCTTATTATGTGAAACTCAACATTTTTTACATCAAATTTCTTAAAACTAGGTAATGAGTAGACAAAAATGTAATTCTAGGGTAGCGTATTTTCACTGTAGGCGAAATAAAGAGATTTCATTTCAAAGGAGAGAAACTGACTGAAACAGACCTGCAACAACAACCAAATAGTCATTAGTCGTGAGGGCGTCAGTTCGTCTGTCCAGCTCGTAGAGGATGTCAGGGTTGTCTTCAGACAGGAATTTTTCCTTTGTGAGAATCTGTGATAGTGGATCTGTCGGGATGCTTCCAAAAGCCGATCTGACCTCGCGCATTATACTCTCCAGGGGCTTCGTTTTGTCTCTACAGTTGGACGCCACGGAGCTGAACAGCGACTGTGAACAAAAGTCATGAGATGGGTTGTGGTCTAGCTGTATAGGTTGTGCTCATAGCACGCGTAATTTTATCAAGCACGCTATTGTCGTGGTAGAATACGAAACCAAACTGTGTTTATAACACTGATTTAAATTATTAAAATATCCTGTCCTGGACTGGCTCCTCTCTCGACCGCCGCTCCTTGTTCTTTATCATTATTTATTTATTTTTTTAAATCCCAAAAACCCCACAACAACAATAACAAAACCCCTCACTGCACTGGTACGCAAAATGGACGCCCAAATGAAAAAAAAAATGAACTGCAAAATCCCTAGTCTGGCTAAAGTCGAGAGAGCGTGCAACCTAACCCTCTTTGACCTTCATTTGGTTCCAAATTGAGTCTGATGGTGAGCTTTACGACGAACCGGAATTACATCAAAGTCTTGGATATTATAATACAGGTCTACGGTAAAAAATGCATTCCTACAGTTTCTTTGTATTTATCCGTTTTTTTTCACTCTAACTATAGGACAACGCCATTCGCCCTTAGAAGATTTATTTGAGCCTAGTAGGGCGTGGCCAAACACACACACACACACACACACACACATACACACATACATACATACATACATACATACATACATACATACATACATACATACATACATAATAATACATACATACATACATGCACGAACACACAGAGATACACACATACACACGCATAAGCCTACATAAAAACATAATAATATACACACTTACAAACACATACAGACACAGGCAGACATACAAACAAACACATACATACACACATACACTCACAAACAGATACACACAGACAAAAAGACACACGCAAACAACAGCAGCAACAACAACAACAACAGCACACACACACACACACACACACACACACACACACACACACACACACACACACAAGCATTAATATGACTAACCTGCCACTTGTGTGATGTCCCAGCCTGTTTCCTTCTGATAAGGATGATTCTTTGTCGCATGTCCTCAACATCTGTAAGGTTGGGGTCGTTAATAATGTTCACTTTTTCGGCAATGGAGAGGAGATCAGTCATGCCCATGTCTCGTATTTCTTGCTCTGTCCGATCGGTGAGGTCAATGCTGTGACCCTCCTCTTGATCCGTCTCGGCCATCGTGTGGACGAAATGAGGACTGTCTTGAAAACCTTCTCTGTATCTCTCCTCGTCTTCTTCAAAAGGTGTTGAGCTGGAGGAGAACGTAGAAAAAATATCGTTTCCAATAATGTAATAATTTCCGGAGTCATGAACCACCATCACCATCCTCCTCCTCCTTCTCCTCCCCCTCATCATCATTAGCAGCAGCAGCAGTAGCAGCAGCTGATACTTTGGTGAAACACAAATTAGCAATTTAAATAGCATGAGTCTTGAATGCAGTCACTTTCGACAGCAGAGTTAAAAAAAGAAGCGCCTTTTTGTTGATAACGATACTTAATTTAAACGAACGACCTTCACAGAAGGCTATGTGTCGAACCCCCCCCCCCCCCCCCCGGGGGGAACATAATTCCCTCATTTCTTAGACGGGCAACATCAAAGGCACCGGTCACTAAAGACCTTGTCCACATTCTTGTAAGAAAAATTAATTCACCTCCCACGCGACCGAGTCTGGCTCTTTTTTCTACTTCTACATCCAGCTGGCAAAAGAAATTCGGTATTATTTTCAGTTTTCAAAGGCCACGACAGATTATTCAGTTCCCTGTAGAAAAATATAACCTACCCCC